AACCCTCCATGTCAGGGTCAAGGTGAGCCAAAGGACAAGATGAGGAAGACTGCACACGGTGGCTTGCTACTCTATTTTAAGATAAATAAAACTGCCCCAGCCACCAAGACGCAAAGGCTGAAAGGAAAGCCTTTGCCTTTGCCTCCCTCAAAGGGTCTCTTGGGTTACGCCCAAGCTGAGGTGGCAATGGCCAGTGGGGAGCAGAAAGAGGTTTAAAGCACCAAGGATGTCATTCTCCCTCTTGTCAAAGGGGAAGTTTTATTTGGAGATGAAAACATGCTGCTTGACTTGGTATAACATACCCATGAAAGGATGCTACCAGGTCTACGGGAAGTGAGTCCCAAGTCCCGACCATGGTAAAGAGCCCTCCACAAGGCTGCTGCCCCTGTGGGACTGGCTCCTAAAGACCAATTATAAAATACTTCACACTGGAGTCTTTTTTTATTTGTATGTAGTCATTGTGGCTCCCATGGAGATGGTGTCTAAGCATCCTGATGGTGTTTGGGGACAGCGTCCTCATCCTGACTTCCTTGCCTGGGTGAGATCAGGCTCCTCTGTCCCTGGGACCTCACATCTGCAAGTACTAAAAGTCTTTTTTCTGAAGGAACTGTCCTCTAAAATACAACTGAAAACCTTCACTTCTAGTGGTATAAGGAAAATGCGTGTGAAAAAAATGAGAGACTAGATCAGTTAGACACATTTTTTTTCCCAGTGCTTATCACAAATCCCCGTACAGCAAAAATGTTAGCTGTGTCTGAACAATTTGCACTCAGGCTTTCCAACCTGCAGTTCAAAAAATGTAAACATCGGGCCATTAAGATTTAATTGCTTTTTGTATTCTCTGCAGAAGCTTTTACTATGAACTATTCATAAGCACGCTCCGAGCTGTCCAAAAAGCACATTAGGGCTTTGCTTACAGAGGAATGCTCTCAGGAACACTGGCAGGCACCAGGCTGCAGTGACCGAGACCCCAGACCTCCAGAGAGACCCCAGCCCGCTGGGGAAGAGCAGTGCAGTGGCAAGGGGACAGTCAGGGACCACACTGGTGCCTGGTGAGGAAACGGTGCCAGCCCTTTGCCACTCGGCCCGTAGCTGACATGTTATTCTTTTGTTGCTAAATGTAGGAGTTTGACTTCAATTCCCTGCTCTTGTTTGACAGCTTAAACAGGCAGAACTCTCCTGCCTGAATTTTGTTTTCTACCTCAGAGACCTCTTCATCAAATATGAGGGGGCTTTCCCTCACCAAGACACTGTAGTGCAAATTTCAAAGCAAAATATAATTCTAATTTTATTTTCATTTAATTGGTTTTTACATGAATATTTCATCAAATACCTGGCTTTTTGTGTTGTTTAAACACTTTCTTTTTCTGTTCTTCCTGCAATATTTTCACCCATCAATTCTAATAGACAGTAGAATAATACTGGCAGAATTTTAGGGCATCATAATTGGTTTTTTATAACTTTTCCAAAATTTCCTCAGTTTCTACAAGTATTTCAGAGATGTAAACCTAACTTCTTTATGACAGCATGTATATATTTTAACTGAAAAACAACTAAGAAATTACTGAGTGAAAAAAGGGAAAAGCAAATAAAAGTAGACAAGAAATGAGATAATTCTAGATAGCACGTTTCATTTAACAGAAAAAGGGGACAGTCACCGAAAAAGAAAAGAAAAACCAACAAAACATGTGCTTTTCCCTTGACTGAGCTATGTCCAGACTACAAGTTCCTATAAGAAGAAATGTTCCTCTTCAAGGAACCAACTTCAGGGCTTTTGAAGTCAGATAATTTGGCAGAATATCACATTTTTAGCCCACTCCTTTCTTAGCAGTTGTGTCCCCTTTAATGAGTCGTGTCTTTCTTTTGTGAGAGTGTATAAATGGCCCCAGTGTGACTAAGGTCAAAGTAGTAACAATACAGTCATAGGCTTGAAACCCCTTCTGATTCAGCGTCTGTAACACATTTTTCTGCCTTAATCTTCAAGAAGAAAGGACTGATGCTTTAAAAAGTACTCATGTTCCTAATTAGTCACAAGGTGAAAGTAATTTTTATGGAGATAAGACTATGTGCTTTCTTTACATGTGTTTAAATGTCATTCTTCACTTCCAATGGCAAAGGTATGTAGGGACAAAGTATTTATAGTACTACCATTTAAAAAAAGTATCATAATACCTTTGTTCTACACAGTTGGTGCTCTATTAATGCAGTATATTCACTGCTGCCTTAATTGGCAAAAATCTAATAACACAAAACTAGATCACTAATTTTTGACCTCTTACTTCTCAGTTTCCTTCAAGGGGTAAAGAACTGTTTTACTGAAGCCTTTTTAAATTACATTCACTGAAAATTATACAGTAAAACTCATTCAGAAGATTATTTCTTTACAGAGAAAATGTGAAATTACCTAAGCCTAGAGCAGCATCGAGAACAATGCAATGAGCCTTTAGTACTGCAATCCAGATCACCTGCTAGTAGATATCACCATTTCTCCAGAAAATAGCACCCACTAGTATATAACGTGCATCCACCTTTTTACCACCCAGAGGAAAGATTTGTTTCCTTCCCTTCAGCTCATTTTCCCCGTTAGTACAAACTCTGCTTTTCCTCTGTCTCTCTTCCCCTCACTGAACATTACCTCCCACACCTTCACTGTGCTGTCCTCAGCTTCAAAGAAACAGAAACCTCTAGGCAGCTATAAGAAAAAAAGCCAGTCCTCCAGTAATAGGTCCTGGTCTAGCTGAGATGGTGGCATTACTGTATTTTCTCACTGTATTTAGCTTCCCTGGCACTTCCCCCACGACAGGCAACGTGTCCCCTTCCACTGTGACATACTGCAGTCAGGCTGAGCAAGCACAGATGCAGGAAAGGATGAATAGGACTGAGGCACCACTGTTTTCTCTAGTCCTACCTATTTATCAAAGTACTTTTATGGTCCCTGTCCAAGCTCTATCTAAGCACTACAGGCAATTAAAGGCTGGCTCTATGGGATACGGATCTAATTTTACAATAGAACAACTAGAACATCGATACCTCTCATGAATTAAAACAGCCAACCAAGCCAATGCTGGGCACATGTCCCTCACCATCCTGAGTATGTTTTGTCCAGTTAGACAAAACTGGGATCAAAATTGCATCCAGTTCAATGGATGAAGACTGCTGTATCACCACAAACCAAGGAAGGAATGCACTTCGGGTTAAACAATTCTGAGAAATATCTGTTTGTGACATAGTTTAAGATCCCTCAGTTTAAGATACAACACATAGTCTTATATATACCTTTCTAAATAACTTGTATCTCATATACAGATTTGAACCACCACACAGCACCCATTTCCACACGCATTTGTATGTGTGAGGCTATCACATTTTCAGTTTGCAACAGGTACTCCTGAGTCACAAAATCAGCCTGATTTTACAGCCTGATCTGTAACTGTCACCCAGCAAACCATGCCATTTTATATGAAGACCAAAGAATTATTTTTGCTATCAAAATTCTTTCTAATCTTGCTTAAACCCTTCTTTTGAAAAAACATTTCTTCATCTTCCCCTCAAATAATAGTTTCGTTCTTTTTTTGGTCCAGGTCTTTTATAAAAGTAAAATTAAACACAACGCTGTGGCTAAAATACATAAGACCCATCTGCTCTGGCTGCTGAGAGATGTTTATCTACAACATCCTCCTGATTGCCTGGGCAGGATAGAAAGAAGTAAGGACCTAAGATTCCAGAGCAGCTTCCAAAAACTGAATAGTTTCCCAATTATTACCCAAAAATTGCAAAGGTCAACAGCCACACCCTAATAGTGTTTGTTTGGTTTTTTTAAAGCAGAAGTTCAGAACATAATTTGCTGACTATCATAAACATAATGTTATTCGAATTGAGTTCCTTTGAATGTAATTTACTGCCAAACTTTACTGAGCTCGTTTTAACACCATAGTGGGAGATTAAAAAATTAAACTATCATTTAAACTATTTTTATAAAGGTTACATTAGTACATTTCATCTCTTTATTGCTTTACTGAATGTCAAGGTGCAGACCACTCAACGAAGCCTGACAGTGACTAAGAGATATAAAGGTCATGTCGTGTACATTTGCTTCAAAAGTTCAACCTTTGTTTTACCTAGGAAATTATTCACAAATTACTGCCTACAACAAAAATTAATAAAAGAAGAGGTCATCCAAACCCAGAGCACCAGAGACACCACAGGAAATTCTGACATGGGGAAAACCCGCCAGTCCTCAGGGCTGTCTTTCCATTTTACTTTCAGTGGTGTTTTAAATTCAGACGCAAAGCTCACCTCCGACTACGTGGAGCGACACCATCACGGAGCCAGATCCTTCCGCTGCCGGCAACGTTCGAGTTGTAGCTGGAGCGTGAGGAGTTCTTCAACAGCTCCCTTTGATCTCCAGAGCCCCGGAATCCTTCTGAGGGCCAGCGCAATAATAAATATTAATAGGCAAATTAACTATTAACAATAATAAAATACATGACGGGTGATAACATAATAGGTGAAAACAGTAATAAATTCACATTGAAGAATGTGTCTGCCCTGGTCTTGCCCCAAGCATCCACACACACATCTTCTCTTTGTCATTAGTGTATCTTGAGATAACCCTTTAAAAATGAAATTAAAATATGCATCATCATTTGAAAATTTTTTTTCCACTTCAAAAGAGCAAATTTGTCATAGCAGGGTTTAAGTTGAATTAAGAAATGAAGTATTTGGTTAACAGGGTACTTGGCTTTTATTACAGATGAATATATCACTGTTATTGCAGTTTTAATCTTCTCAGGGTTTTTTTCAGGAACAGGTCTGAAGTCATTACTACTTGGGGATGTTTTAACATTCCGGATGTGAGTAGAAGCAGGGCAGGGGGCTCATTTTTGACTGGACAGGAGAACCCACAGCCAGCTTGGGCTGCCCCACACCAGTGGCAGGACTGGGGATGCTGGGTTTTGCACATGAGGCTCTGCTGTGAGCTGTGCGAGGCAAGCTGCTCACCGCTGCATCAAGAGGCACCACAGGGTCTGAGGTGGGGCTTCAGCTGAAGGAAGAAGTCGTCTGCGATGGCTGTAGAAACAAGTCTTCTGCGGAGAGAAAGATCAGAATTAATACGGGCAGGGAAACCCAATCCTCTTCCTTTTCTCCACCGTTTCTGCCCCCCCTCCCCAACAAGTCCTGAGCCTTTGAGGTCCCTGCCCCTAAAACACCAGGGCTGTCCTACAGCTCTGACCCCTGTGGCACACACCTGCAGAAAGCACAAGGACAGTTGCCTGCAGACAGCCCTCCTGCAAGCCCCGGCAGCAGAGGGGCCACCACTGCCTGTGAGCTGCCCCTGCATGGGCCATCACGAGCCCCACGGCAACACTACGTGCCTTGAGCAACAACCTGCACATGGAGCAGTGCCACACACCACCTATGCAGAGCTTACCATGCCCTGGCTTTAAAAAAAAAAAGGACTTTAATGATAGTGTCCGTGCCGTGGGAGCTCTACAGGGGTGAGACACACTGGGGCTCCTGGTAGGGTGAGCTTTTCGGTCACTTCTCCCCTCGCACCGTCACCACGGGTGTAACGGAGAGCAGAAACCAGAAACCAAGGGAATTCTGTGCAACTGGCTGAGAGGACAATCCAGCAAGACATAAGACCCCAGCTGACTACAGGGCCAGGCAGGATTTTGGCTGTGCACTGTGATTACCTGTCCATTCCCCATCGCGTGCTCTGAGCGGCCCCCAGGAAGCTGGTCCCACACCTTGTGCTTCACATGTTGCAGTTTACGTTAGTTTATTTTTAATTCTGTGGAAAATGAGGTTTGACACAACTGCGAAGATGATCAACTGAAATAACAAAGAGCTGCATGTCCACACGACAGGGGTTGCAGAGCTTGGGCCCTGTGAAAACCAGGGTGCCACAACCTCCTAGCACATTTTGCAGAAGACCGCACAGAACTACCTCCGAATGCACCAAGCCGTGCTTTCAGCTAAACCAAAACCGGGTGGGCTCTTGTCATTTGAAACAGGGTTTTTCTCAAGTAAGAAGGGAGTATATTGTTCTATATTTCTTATCATGCCTTCTTTTTGGCCATTTTCTTTCTATATCTGGCTTACCTTCCTATTTTTCCTGCCTAGTCTTTTACGTAATTTTTCTAGGGCCCTGGACATCTCTGTACGTTATCAGATACTATGGCCTGCTACTCTTGAATGTGCTTAAACTTGAGGATTTTATTCTCAATTTCACATCCCAAGTAATTCAAGATAATTTTTAGATTAAGAAGTCTTTGTTTTTGAATTTCAAATATACAAAAAACACACAGGCTTCATAGAAATGCACGAGCCGAAAGTCTAAAATTCAGTAGGTGCTTTTTCTCCTGTACAATTTGTTCTTCATTACAACAATGCAAAACACTGCAAATAAAAATGAAGAAGAAAAATTAGAGTCTGGTTAGCAAGGGGGTTATAACCTAATACCAGCCACTATTATACTTCCGTATGCTGCTTAATGAATCAATGCTGGCAGGAAAAAAGATTGCTGGAGCCTGAGGCACTTAATAAAGGCGTGTAACATAACACGCATTTCCCTTTAGGTGTCACTCTGAAAAGTTGGTATGTACAATTTCTAGTTCTAATGTAATGAGAGCAGAGGGTGATGCTGTCAAGATGAGAGATTCTGGCATCACAGCGTGAAGCCACATGTTAGGCGGCCGGGCAAACCATCCCAGCACAGCACCAGGGGCAGGATGGGTGTCCTGAGGCTCTGTGCCCCATGGCAAGGGCAGCAGTGTCCTCCCCACCGTGGGCACCGCTGGAGACCTGCTACCACCACCAGCTGAAGAGATGTCAGGTGGGTTTAGAAATGACCATGTGAGCGGCTCACCCAAGATGTAACTGAAAGCGTGCAAGCTTCAACTGCTCCCACCAGAGCCTGCAAGGCCTGAAAACAAAAAGAGAATGACCATTAATAAAACACAGTACATGGAAATGCCTCCTGGTCAGCAGAGATGCTGCAGGTGTTCCACAGAACAACTAATAGCATCCACCTGAAAAAAAACCCCGTGATATTTGGCCCCATCTTCATGACGTATCACAACTCACAAATTCCTCCCACTTGGGACTTTTGACTTTTCTTTGGCCTCCAACTAGCAGCTTCCCCTGTACAAACTCAGGTGCTGTGATCACCTCTGAGGTGCCATCATTCCTCCCCATCTGTGGCTGCCTCCTGTATGCTGGGTGTGCTCCCCAGAGCATCTGCACTGGTACACTGCCTGTAATCAGCAGTGAAATACTTTAGGATTCATTTCAGTGAAGGACATAAAACTTGAATTGTATTATATTATATAGTAATTAATACTAAGAGATTCTGCACAGTGTAACAATAGCTATGAAATTGTTACAGCTACATTGGATGAGATAGAATAAATGACGTGATATAAACCGTATTTTTGCTTTTTTTTTTTTTACTTCTGCTCTGCTAAATCTTGTAACATCCTTCATGAACTTACTTCCTTTCAAAATGACTTCTGGCAGAAAATGGAGCTAAAGCTCTGAACGGGACATCACGTCGTTTCAGAATGACTCAAGGTCAGCCAGTTCATTTTTTAAGTACAAAAATCTTAACTGCTCCCCGCTAGCCAGGGAGAAGCTCCCCGCGCTGTTCAGTCTGCCAGGTGCCATCTCTGTGCAAAGAGGAAAAATAAACAGGAGCGAATGGGAGGGTGCAGCACAGCACCAGAAATACCAAGTGACCTGGTGTTGCGGGAGGGGGGATCAGGTTTAAAGACTAATTTCCTACGAGTTGCAGCGAGAGAATTTTAATAATATTGCGATGGCAAAGGAGCATTGCCCCGCCACAAATCTCCTGCGCTCTTTCAAATATCAGTTCCACAGTGACAATAACCGCAGCGACTGGTTTGTGTCCTTTGACTAAGAGCCAGTTTATACAATTAATAACGCATCCCTGCCCAATCAACAGAACGATCCGTCCTTGCCCCTAGGTACTAATCATGTGTCAAGACAATTAATTGCAGTGATGTACTATGTGAGGAAGGTTGCCCTTAATGTAAAATGTGGCAATTTTTCTGAAGGGCCCAAGGCAACGATCATCTGAATATCCTCCCTTACAGTAACACCACCTTCTCTAAATGAAAGAGGAGAACTTAGTCAACATGAGACCTAAAAACAAACCTGCCTCTGGGTTCAAGCCCACGAGATCTGGAGCACCCTGCCACCTCCCACTGAACAGGATTGCGCTCTTAAGCAAAGGTTACAATTTTCCACTTAGATGGGATCAAAAGTCTGGATGGCTAAATTTAAAAACTGATTACCGCAAAGAATTTTTAAGAGGACTTTTTTTTTCTCCCACCAACTTTGTTAATTCACAAGAAGCTTTTTCCTCATAGAAGCTTTGTCCTGCATCAGTGAAGGCTTGCCATTGATTTTCACAGAAATATGATCAGACCTTCCATTAGTCCCCATCTCACTGGGCGTGTAATTGGGCGCAGATGAGGGGAGCTAGCGGGAGCCTGAGGACGTGGACTTTGAGCATAAAAATGAGTCAATATGTCAAGCTGTTCTTTGTTTCGTTTTGTCTTCTCTTCCTCTTCCTTCTCAAAGCGAGAGGGGAAAATTGGACTCGGTCCACCCAAGGAGGGCAGAGCCACCTCCAGCAACCTCTTCCCCACCTCGACCTCTTGACATCTGCTTCTGGCACTGCTCCATACCACATGAGGCGGGGGGACACCCCTTCTCAGCTGAGAGGGCCAACTCATATGGTCGCAATTAGACAAGGAGCACCCACAACCCCCTTGCCCCATCTGCAACCAGAGCTACCTGGTTGCTGGCAGGATCCCTCCTTTTGGGAGGGAAGCAGCCCTGGCAACAAGAACCACAGCAGAGGACTCGGCGACTGGGGAGTTGCTGTCTCACCACTGCCCCACCTTGTATTTTGATTTTTCGCTTTGACTCATTGCTCGCAGTCATCGTTGTCATCAATAATAAGAGGTGCTGGGGCACATTTTACAAATGCGTGTGCTTAATCATCTTGATATCTGAGATGAGTCTTGTAGATAAGGGCAACACACAGAGGCAACAAGAACCCTCCAGGGCTGCACAGGATGGCTGCAGCTACACAAAGTTCCAGCAGCAACATGCAGACATCCCGTTATGTAAAACCAAGGGGACAAAAGCCCTTCCAGTGCTCCAAGGGGTGGATTTAACCTCACATGTCACTCCAGGACCTGGTGAGTCCCACCAAGCCCTTCCACTATTGTAGAGTGAAGATAACCTTCCCCGTTATGTCAACCTCCCCTTGGCTCATCCTCACCAGCACAGGACACGGTCAGCCTTCCTGGCTCCTTTGGTACGTGCTATTGCGAGTCAGACCCTGCCTGGAAAGTGCTGCTCTCCTCCTCGTCCCGCTGTGAAAGGCCACCCCGTCCGCTAGTCATTGGTTTCTTTCACATACAACAAATTGCACTCATAATGGGAGAGCCCAGGCAGAATTCCCCTGAGAGTCTGAAATGACATTTTTCAGGATCTGACAATAAAACACCACTTGTGCTCTGCCTCTCATCTGTTCACCCTTTCAGTTAAGCTTTCATCCCCTGCATTAGAGAAATGAGTCATCTTTACCATCTCTCATGCACTCACATTCTCAGTACCTTGCCTTAATCTTCAGTTTTTCACTATCACCTGAAATATATGGTCCTTAATCTCTAATATTACTTTATGGGGAAAAACCACTAAAAAATAAATCACAGTTATAATAAGAAGTTTCCAAAGACTCTAATCCTAAAATGCACTCCTATAATAATACAGGGGAATCTCCACACTCAGTATTAAAAGGATAATTTTTCAGTGTATCTCCAGTTTCACAGATACACACAGCTCTTCATTTTCACCTGCAAATGACTCCATAGATTAACAGAGAGACAAAACTCAATCAAGCATGTCTGTCATTGCGATTATGGCCTGGCTGTAAAGCAATCTCACAGGATGGGAGAGGACCATGATATACCTATCACAGCTTAAAAGCCTTCCTCATTGCACCAGATTTACATAACTTTATTCAGTGCTGTAGATTAAAGGTTCAAAAAGATTGTATTTGTCTATAGGGATGGCAAACGAGCAAAGCGTTGATACTGGAGGTAGTTCATCATTTGAATTGGGTTTTGCACCTGCAGAATTCCCCTCTTTCTGTTTGGTAATACCTTGTGGCTTGCACAAATGCAATGACTGTAAGGGGCAATTTATGTATTTGTGTCTTCTATCAAATAAAAAATAAAAATAAGTTGGAAAAGCTGAATTAGAGACCCCAATATTTCAGTCTGACTCAGGCTCTGGAGTTCACTGGGGAAAATGTAGCCCTTAACTCTCTTAGGAAAATACACCAAGACCCATGCACTTCTTTCTGCCTGAAGATCTTCCAGAACAACTTTAGCACACCTTAAAAAATCTGTCACAACAGCAGTTTTAAAGTCATATCTATCAATGCAAGTCCAACCATTTCCAAATTCTGACATGCCCCCAGATCCTAAATCTAACTTAAAATTTCTTCAAGTATTTTCTGACACTCTAAGCTAGCAACTTCATCATTTTAAATAAAAACTGAAATTCTTATACTTATGAAAACACTAAAAGGTGTCAGAGTTGACATCTCAGTCGTCCTGGCTCTGGCGTGAGAGTTGACACTTATTTTACTAGGAAATTAGCAAAGGTGCAAAAGGTCCTGCTCGTGCTGCAGGGTCGCTGTAGCTGCAGGAAGCAAAACTCTCCTTCAGCCGCAAGAACCAGCTCCTTGCTGCAGAGCTGCCGGGTTTGGGCTGCTCTGGCCCAGGCAGAGCATGGTCAGGTGATGCTGTGCCATGGTCCCAAAAGAAAAAGAAAACTGGGACACGAGTGACAGCAGGCATCTCTGCACACTGGCAAACTGAAGGTTTCCCTTCAAAAATCCCAAAATAGCCAGTCCTGATTTGGTCCAAACAATGCAACTGAAGGCAATACAGAGACTTTCTAAAGCTGACCGCATTTTATAAAGAGTGGCTTAATCATACCATTTTCAGAGAGAAAGCCACAACAGTCCTTGGTGGGGTACAGCTTGTTCCTGTGAAGGGAAGGAAAAACCCAGGGCCAGGGCTGCCTTTGCAGTGGAGCTGCTCAGAGGGGTGATTTTGTACCTTATTACAAAACACATTTTTACCATCTTCAATACAAGATGGAAATCTGACGCCGTTTCATTTCACCTTTTTCCAGGATCCTGATTCTGCAAGGCTAAAGCTGAGCTCCCTTGAATGACTCTGATGCTGAAACATGTACATAAGTACTTTGCTGAATCAGGCCCTCTTAAAGTATAAGGAGGAAGATATTCAAGCTTTCTAATCCAGCAGCACAGCGGGGAAACTGCTTGTCTCTGCGTGATTGTGTAATTGCTTTTCAAAGAGAGAGGCAAGTTTCTCCATCCACGTAGCACTGATAAACCTCAGAAGTCACTTTGGTCTTCCAGCCTAACTTTCAAGATTATTTGTTATGGGTAAAAGGAAAGACACTTCTATTTCCATAGTTGACAAGCTTTGCTTCAGGGCATGCATTTATTTTCCATGCTGTTGATCTCTTCCTCCCTGCATCAGGCTAATTCATCAGATTAATAAAGGACGATTTAGCTTCCTGCAGGGTGTTATTGATCTCTCAGGGAACGTGGCAGTTGTTTGCTATGCCACCTTTCCCCTGAGCAAAAGGGATGATTTTTAAGTATTTCTAATGCTTGAAGGCTGCAGCTGGCTCTCACCCTGGAGGAGCAAAAGGCAGCTGCAAAGGGGAAATGCAGAATGTATCGCCTCCATCCCTCTGCTTTCTGTACTCAGCGGTGTGTCCAGAGCACACAAAGCCACAGCCTGGCAGTGGGAGTGAGCAACCCGCTCCAACGTGGGGCTTCAGAGAGACAAAGCTCATCTGGGCTGAGCTGTCACACACTTAATCCACCAGCACCAGGGATTATTTGAAATATGCGGCGTAGTTCATAGATTATAAGGTCAGAAAGGACTCTGCAATCAGCTGCTGTAACACACCCCAGCCGGGTCACCCCTCGCAGTGAGCCCTCTGGTGCCAAATCACTCACCGGGGCATCCCATTTCACTCTGCATTTGCCCACCTTCTGCCACAGGATCTTCTGCCTCTGACAGCATTTGCCAAAGCTGCTTTTCCAAACACCTCTTTGGAGCTCCTGTGGAAGGCACAAGGGTTTCAGCATGAGGGTTCCCATCACGGTGGGGCAGGTGCCTGGATCTCAGCTGTGCCGAGCACCCCACACAGCCATCCCCAGGGTCAGCCAGGCACCACGGTGGCTGCTCAGCTCCTTCCCTCCTGCCGGGCAACGCGTGATGCTCTCCCACCTCCTCTCCGGGCCTTCCACAGCAGCACCTGTTTGCTTAAGAGAGGAGAAGTGGACACACGTTTCAGGAATATTCACGTGTCATCCAACACAGAAACAGCAGCATCTCCTTCCCAGTGCTGCAATTACCCTCTTTATCCCACCAAAATTATTCCTATACCTTTAGGCTACAGTGCTGGACGAGGAGCTTTAATTCACCATAATCTCTCAGTTGTTCGCTGGCTCCCTGCTTGTCTGGCCAGAAGTCCCTGCCCTGCAAACACAGCCTGGCTCCTGGCTGCCAGGATGTAGGGCTTGATGTTTGACCTTATTAAAAAGCAAATGCTGTTTATTTCTGCCAAGCTACAAAGCCTAAATATGAAGCCTCAGTGACTTGCTCGCTCATTCTTCACCTTTCTCATGAGTTAATGTCACCTATGTATTTTCCATTTTCTCACCAAAACCACTGCCAGACATGTTAAATCCTGAAAGAGCAACACTTGAGACCCATCAGAGCTGGGCGGACACAAACTCGCTTGCTCCCCTGTTTGCAACTGTGGTGTGAGGCTTGTAAATCTGCTGGCTTGAAATCCACTCAGTATGAACTACATTAATTTTATATAATTCTAATTCCTTAATCAATAGCTTTGAAGAATCAAATATCTCTGTAAATTACAACAACATTATTACCTTTAGCAGTCTAATTTGCAATCTCATTAAAAAGATATCAAGTTCTGTTCTATAACCCTACAGTGATGGAATAACTCTCCATCCTTCATTAGTCATATCCTTGCACGTGCTGCTACATGTTTGTCTAGGACTGGTGTCAAGCTGGGCCGTCCCCAGCTGGTTTTCAAATCCTGGCACAGCAGCAGCTTGCTTTCATCGCTGCCCAACCGCGACGACCCCAGCGCCACTGAAAATCAGTACGGCCCGTTCAGAGAGCTGCAGGGCCAGTGCTGGTGACCAGTACCCTGGACCCGCCGGCGCAGAGCGTGCAGTGGTGGCTCGTGCTGTACCACACGCACGGGGTCACCGTGGGACTCTGCATCCTGTGGTAGGACCGCAGCTGAAACTTGTTTTCCCCAAACATGACATGTTTATTGAATGTTTCTGCATGTATCGAGTGCCTTTTCTGCATTAGCAATGGCTTTTCTGCAGAGTTGAGCTGGTACCTGACTAAATAGATGCCTTTTCTTCCCAATATATTCTGAAAATTACTGAGCTCTGCTTGTACCATTTTCCTTCCCATATGAAAGGAAAACCCATTTTCTCAACTATATAAGAGTTTTGGTGCCAGAATTAGACAAGGAAATGTTTCAAGAGAAGGGGTCAGGGACTGGTTTCTCCCAGTGGTGGGGGCTCATCAGCAATCTATGCTGTTAAGCCGGATAATTAAGACTGGACCCACCCCGTGAAGCTGCCTGCATCCCTGGTTCAGGCACATTTCTCATCGTTATCCCTTACCCCATGGCTTCCAGCCCCACTTAATAAGGCTATGTTTATTTATCTGGCTTTTGGCATGACAGATAAAACAAAGCTATGCCAAATTTCAGTCCATAAATCCCAGTAAGTAGATTGGATGGGCCTAGATTATAAAGGAAAATAACTACAGAGACCTAATTTTGGAAAAAAAAAAAAGATCTTAGAACTGATTTGCTGACAGGGTAGACCTTGATGTCATCCTTCTATAAGTGGGTTATGATTGTTCTCACAAATGCAAAATTATATGCAAATACATCCATCGCATCCTGCTGCTTCTAGTTTTATCTGCCTTTTTCCTAGTCTTTTTTTCGCTTCTCCTGGAGTCTCCCAGAAGCTGATGAGGGGCATTTGTCCCAAGTACAAGGCCAGGGACAAAGTGATTGGAAACGGAAAATATCCTGCACTGTATCTCTTCTGACAGGTACAAGTTTCCTGATGGTTTATGTCTGTGTCACGAGACGTAGGGTTTCATTTCTGCCCTTGAAAAACAGATCAAAAGATCATTGCCAGTATACATTCTTCCTTGACAATTTTTCACTAGTTTTGGAAAATATGAAGAGTTTATAGTCAGCTCCTACAGTGACACCTTTGCTGTCCCAGGTGGTCTGGAGCAAGCAGGACTCACCAGGACCCCTTCCTCAAACCCAGAGCGATTTGCAGCAGGAAAACCAGCAATGTTCTCCTACAAGATGGAAAATAGGGGGTGGGGTTTTTTTTGACTCAGTGCTATATGGTATCTTTAGGGTCCCCTGAACGTGATTGCGCTCAAGCTGAACCTCAGTTCAAACATCATGGGCTTTGTGCCTAGAGGTTGACATGACAAATTTACACTTAAGGAGGCACCAGAGGAGCTTTGGCCAGGGGCCGGGAGCCCTTCGCCCGGCTGCTCCCCCCTCTCGCAGGGATTTTCACCCGCTGTGGGTGGGTGGGAGGCGGGGGCCGGGGCTGGCCTGTGCCTGGGAGGGCGGCTGGGGCTGGGGCTGCCTCCAGGCAACGCGCGAGTGGCTCTGTGGGAAGCGGCTGCTGCTCCTAATTAAATAGCACAGATCCATTGCTGCTCATCAGTCTGACGGCGGTAAGCCCTTCTCCCGCCTCGGGTGCTGGAATTAATGCTGCTGCGAGACAACATAAATTGCAGCTTGAAAATGGCAGATCAGGTATACACTTACTGCCATTAAAAGGCTCTAAATTGGTTTAGAATTGAAAAAGAAAAAAAATATCTACCATAAAAGATCCAGATATGGCCGTAAAGGGCTGAATGCAAATGACAGAGTGCAGTTGAATTCAATCTGAAGCTGCTGTAGGACTTTGCGACGCACACCCACAACATCGGCCCTTAGCAAGGGACACAGAGGCTGGCTCTTGCTCAGCAGCCAAATTTTAAAGCAGTGTCAAATTAAGAAACCCGGCTTTGAAATGCTGGATGTCTCTTGAAGAACCTTAAGCCTGTTTTTGTATTGTAGGATCAAAGTCTTTGAAGCCTTAAGACAGGATCAAACCGCAGAAATTTTGGACACGCTCCACCCAGAAGGCTCTAAGATCTGTGCTGTTAGTAGTTATTAATACATGAGTAAGCTGTTACATGACAGCAAAGTGAATATACTACATCCATATTTATACATATATATATATATTAGGTGCATGAGCTACAATAACATTTAATAAAGGAGTGACCAACTTCACAGAAGTTCCTAAAGTTCAGTCTACACTGAGAATATTTCCATTTCAAAATCACCAAATAGTTATTGGGTAAAAGTCTATAAATAAATTTGACATAAAAGTCAGACCCCAGGCTGCCAGTCTTCTAGCCTGAGCCCACCAGCTGTGGTCCAACCCAGTGAACCTCCTCCTGCTGCTGACTGTGGTGCCTTAGATGAGGGCAGGGCAACCACTGGTCCCCAGGGGAGCTCAGATCCTGACAGCAAGGGACATCTCCAAAAATGGGAAACATGAAACCAAATCATCTTGGGAAGGAATGAATAATCAACTGTGGGTGTCTCACATCTGTCACAAACACTGGCTTGTCGTGCAAGGGGGTGATGGACTGGTCTCGTCTCCTCAGTCTTTCCAAGGAGGGCTGTATCCTTCACTGTGTTTTTACCAAATCTATCTGAGAGATCAACGCTTTTTGACTGTTTTCCAGTTTGTGAACCCTTAAACATCTTCCATCTGAAGAACAGACCAGCTTGCAGGAAACACAACCCAAACGACCATTGATCTGCCCTCCTACTTACCTCTCCTGGAAGGGTGGGAAGAGAAGGCAACGCAGGAACTTACGGCAGGATGATGGAAGTCTGGAACAAGGTGCTGAAGCCACTACCTCTTTCTGCCATCATGGAGAAGCAGAAGAAGGTTCTCTCATCCCCTCAGCATTTCGGGTCAGTGCTGGGGACTCTCTCACGTGATGGCCATGCCTCCAGCTTTCACCCCTCCAGGCTGGCCAGGGACACCCTTCCTCCCACAGCGGGGGCATTAGCACACACCTAATGCTGCAAAGCACATCCGAGGGAAGGCAGGACTCCCAACAGAGGCTTTGGGGAGCACTGCAGGAAGAGCTGTGTTTGACTACACAAACAGTGAGGAAAAGAGAATGACCAGGAAAATCATGAGACATCAAGGGAGAGAAACGACAGCGTTACAGTCCCAGTGTCCATTATCTGGACACTGGTGTAACCGGGACAGAGTGATTCTCATATATCATTTTCTTCTGAAACATTAACTGCAGACAAAGATCTTTCTCTGTATGAATTATGAAGTATTATTTCATGTTTAATTGCATTGATTTGCATTGAAAGCTTTAAACATCAGCCTAATAATTATCTTAAACCAATTTGTCATCAGGAATACAATAAACCATTATCTATGCCAGTGCTTACAAGGAGCTGACTCTCCTGCATCAGAGGAATTGGAAGAAAATAAAAAGAAACATTTAAAAGAAACATTTAAAATGCCAGAGTGTGCATCCAGGTTGCTGCGTTTCAGGGAAAAAAATGTGAGAATTATTGCCAGTAAAAATGACAATAGAAAAAAAACTTCAGAGACTGCAATGGTGCTTATTTACACAGAATTACCCCAATGGTAGTTGGTTGCTGGCACCTACCCCCACCAAGCTGCCCTCGCACCCACTACAGGTTCTCCTGCAAGCCAACGTAAGGGGACTTGTATCCCAAATCTTCCTCTCCAGAGTAGAAACCAGCCCTAAATCCAGTGGGTGGGTGGGTGGAGGTGGTTTCTGTTGTTGCTGGTGGCATCGAGAACAGTCGCCTTTCTGCTTGTCACTCCCCCTTCCCTTGTCCACCGACCAAGACGACATTTCTGCTTACAGAGAGAACATCAGCAAATATTTTTAATAAGAAAATTTCACATTGCTCCAACCTCTGCTCTTAGTAAATGTCTGATTATTTAAAACCAGCACCAGAAACACCTGGCTAGAGGCATGGAAAATTCTGGACAAAGCAATTCCAGCCTCAGCAAGTTACAGCAACACAAGAGGCTTTACAGGGAGAGCTGCTGGACCAGGGTTACCAAACAGGGCTCCCACCCCGCCTTGCCTTGCCAGGGGTGGACAGGCTGTGAGTCCCCACAGCCTAGAGAGGAGGTAAAAATGTTGTGTGTTATGATCCCCCCAAATTCCTGTGGGAACGAGAAGGATGAAGCAAAGGAGAGCTATAACAGGATTTGAATATTTTAAACTACTTTGACAGGCACGCACTGTAGTGCATTTTATCTGTGGGAAATCTTGCAGCAATTGAGCACTTTACAGCTCCCGTCCCGGGGAACAGACATTATGCAGTGCTTAGCTTGCAGCATCGCACCAAATTTTACTGCCACTGCAAAACTTCCCCCCCCCCAACCTGACAGCCAGTTTCAACATAATGGTCTTTATTTTGCAGAGCGTGATCTTGAAACATGCACAGTGGTTTTTACGGGCAGGATGAAAGCCTGATGTGACTCACGGTGGTGTTCTCGGGGGGTGTTTCCAGGGCGGTCCTCCCCACCAGGAAAAGGCACGTCACGGGGTGCCGGCTGGAGGGGCAGCCCATGTCTTGCTGCCCCAGGGGCTGCCAGCTTCACCCACCAGAGGCACAGGGATGCTCAGCCAGGGG